AGAATATCTCCCCTATACCTTAGAAAATCCCTCCAAACCAGACAAAGAATATCTCACTTATACCTTAGAAAATCCCTCCAAACCCAGAGAGGATTTTCCATATGGTGATTTTTACCCCTGGGGCCCAGATGATCATTTTCCACCATACAATACAGTTCCTACTATACTGCCACCTGTGGAAAGCAGGGGCTATTACATGGAGAATGCTGTTCCACCAGAAGAAAGCCCTGTGTTTCCCTCCTGGGACTCCTGGGACCGAAGGATTCAGACCGATGGGCCCAAAGAAAGAGGGCAGTATGTTAATAGAAATTTCTGGGACCAGACAACAAATGTATACAATGCTCCAGCTAACCCACTAGACCACAGACAGAACCAGCCCTACTCCAGTAACTCCCCAGCTGGGCTTCGGAAAAACCCAACGTGGCTTGAAGATGAGACCTTGAACCATGGCATGCAAATGACTAGGTTAAACTCACCAGATGGGGAGCAGGTAGCTTTCCCAAGCTTAATGTCTCAAAGTTATCCACCTGAACAAAAAGAAGCAAATTCATTTCACCCAAGCCAAAGAAGTCCCTGCTGTGCTGGTGGGGCCACGGGTCCCAAGGATAATCCACTTGCTTTACAAGACTATACTCCATCCTTTGGTCTTGCACTAGGGGAGAACCAGGACACCAGCCCGCTATATACAGAAGGGACTCATACTAAACATGCAAGACACATCGTGTCCCCTACAAGTGTTTTGCCTGGTCAAAGAAATAGCTCAGAGAAGAGGCTGCCTGTGGAAAGCCAAAACCCAAGTCCTTTTAGAGATGATGTGGCCACTCTGAGGAGGAACACGCCGTGTTCTATAAAGAATCAATTGGACCAAAGGGGCATACTGCCATTTCCTCAATCAAAAAGCACACCATGTCTCAAAAGTGATTTTGGCGGAGATGGGACCAACATTGTGGATCAAATGTTTGAGGGCAGCCAACCCAATGAAAGAACTGCAGACCTTACCCCTGAGCAGCTTGTGCTAGGTACCCCCGATGAAAAGTCCCAACCAGAAGCAATCCAAAGTGAAGTACCAGGAAGTGAGGGTGAGAGGCAGCAACAAAGGCCCTCTAGCATCCGACAGTTACCGTGCTTTGGCTCCAAATTAGCCAAGCATCACTTCTCCGGTACTGGAGCTCCATCTAGCAATGGAAGGCAAGACCCATTTGTAGGCGATCCAATTATGCCAACTGAAAAGCCAAACACATTGGCTGATTTAGCTACTGAGGCACCTTTTAACAGTGCAAATGTAAACACACTTAACGAAGGTGAACATCCTCCCTTGGAGCCCTTTTTAAAAGGGACTGATCCAGAGGACCAGGTACAAGACTGTTTATTACTTCAGGCTTAGAGATTATCCCAACCAAGTTTTTTCTTAGGGAAGGAAAATAACTGATATTCTATACCAATGGTTCCCAACCTTTCCCCCCACCTAAGATTCCATTAAATAACTGACTCTCTTGATGATCCTTAAGAGTTTCCTCATCCCAGCAATGAAGAATAATGCTTCCAGGTGATGCTGATGAGGTTGGAAATCTTGGGGGCCATTGGATACAGCCTTGTCACAAATTAGCACACACTTTAAAAGCAGGAAACTCATGACACCACTTGGAAGCTACTTGTCTGGGTTAGTTTAATTGCTAATTCTTCCTTTTCCTCTAAAAATCCCATACTTGCAAAACTGCCGAGTTTTGCAAGACTGAAAGGCACATGAACTTCCCGTTTTCTGTATGGAAATCCACATATCAGTATAATGGTGAATCGTTGCCCGTTTTTTACTTGCGTTGATCTTTGTCAGAGAGGTATGTTTCCTAACTAATATTCTCTGCTGGCATTTTTCCTACATGCCCTCTCTCTGTTCCTTTATCATGTCCATCCATATCATGCCTGCCTCTTTTTCTGTTCTCTCTCACTCTCCCCTCCTGTGTCTAGCTTACCAAATTTTCCTTCCCATCTTTCTTCCTTTCTACCATTCCTTCCACACAAAAGTATCTTTAATCATCACTATGTGTTTTATGTGGACCTTGTCTAGTATGTTGTTCTTTATTCCCACATATGTATTGTCTCCTATTATATCATTTGTCAATTATTTCTCGTCTTCTCTTGTGTTTCTTTTTCCCTTGCTGCTGTTCAATGCGATCAAGTCTATTTCCATGGACAGTGACCACACATGACAGGGAAGAACTATCCTGGGTGGGTTTTCTAAACTGTACGAGTTATAAGAGCGAATGCCAGCTCTTTCTCCCAGGGAGCTGCTGTGTAGATTCAGACTGCCAAGCTTTTGGTTAGTGGTCTCGTGCTTAACCAATGTCCCTCTAGCACTCCTTCATACCTTAGCATGCCTTGTCTTCCCCTTTGGGCATCCACTCTCTAAATTTTTCCTGAATTATTTCTCAAGCTGGCCTAACCATCATGTAGAATATATTTCAGAAAGAGTATATACTGACACTACTTTTATTTATCATTTTTCTTAAGGCCTCTACAGGTAGACACCGCTCAGCAAGAGCAATACATTCGAGGAGAAATGTGTAGGGAAGACAGGCTACCTACCCAGAACTAATAGCCTGCAGACAGGCTTAGGAAGGGGGACATAGAAGACGGAACGAATTGGCACTCTGGGACTGAGAATCCATAAAAATCGGACTGGGACTTGCCACGCTCTGTAACCAACCAATATCTGCAGGATCCAGAGAGTACAATTTGGGAAACATTGTCCTAAACAATGTAGAGACCAGCTCAATGATTAGGGTTCTTTACTAGCACAGTATATGAGATTCTACTGGCATAGAATCAGCTACTACTAACACAAAGACTTACTCCTTGTGTCATGATAGAATAATTCAGACACACTTTCTTGGTACATAGATTAAACAGTGTAAATTATTTTGGAAAGCAGGTATTTCTATATTTTCTTGTTTTGTTATGTTTTAATAAATAGCATTTTACCTATTATCTAGATATTTCTGCCTGGAGGAAAAGAATTCTCAGAATGACTGAGGAAATTGCCTTCTGATTCTAAAGACTTTCATAGGTCAATTTTTTCTGAGGGAAGATATCGTTTTTTTAAAAACTCAGAAATCTGTGTTAATAAAATACTGAAAACTCCCTCAGAGGAAGATTCTTGCTCTTTTACTCCACTGAAGTGCCAAGCACAGTTCTTGCACATGGAAAGTACCAAAAACGTTACTGACTGCTTTAAAAATGGCCGTCAAAACGCACATGAAAATTCTGTCTCCTCCTCTGTGAGTGAACGGTCTGGGATGTGGAATGAATTACCACGCTCTGGTGCTTCCTGTATGCAGCATCCTTTGCATCATAGAACCTCAGGGTGAGAAGGCACCTAAGAGGCACAGCTAAGCCACACACTAGTTGCTTCACTGTCCCCCTACCCCAGTTTTATATTTCAATCATCATTGGGGAAAATATCATTAACTTATTCTGTATAAAACTGTATAAGATTTATTCTGGATGAAATAAAACTACATTGTTATGTTTCACTACTTCTTTTTCAAATAATTTTTAAAATCTTTTTCAAGTACTTTTCGTTCACTTTATATGTGACCAAAACGGGTAGGTCACATAGTTGAGAGGGCAAATACACTGGCACATCTGAACCTGCTAGGCACTGGTGCCTCGATCGTCATCTGAGACCTCTGTACCATAAAACAGACAGAGGTCCAGAGTGCCAACATCTACTGACTCTGAGACCACCGCGAACCAGAAGAGAGAAACTGACCTGCAGCTCATGTGCCCTGGTGTCCGGGGAGCCTGGATGGCAGATCTGCGTTCCTTACACTACAGAAATGATTGGGTGCCCTTGCTAAGTTATCAGCACACCTTCTGGCTAAGGTACATAGGCAGAGACTCAGCCCACCACCGCCGCCCTATTGGGAAGGCAAGATCCTCTGTCGAGTGGTCACCGCCTATTGACTCGTATATGGCTAGATATAGCCCATTTATTGACTTTGGTTGATACAGTAAGCAAAGAATAAATTCCAAGGTTGACAAACATAGCAATTCTAGCACACCCCTTGTCAGCTGTTCGGTCCCACAGCAGCACACCCTCTTAAAAGGAGGGTGGGGATCTGGTTGGCTGAACTTTGAAAAGGAAAGGATTAACCGTGGGCTCCAGCCACCTCTGAAACTCAGCCCGGTGGCCTAAATAATCGTGGAGATTCTTCCTCCAGCTTTTTGGAGTCCCTGAAGATTTTGATAACAAGCTGGGCACAGTCACTCAGATTAATGTCTTAACTTTACACATTGTTAAAGAAAAAAATAAATGAGCTTTTAAAAATAGTGCTGATAGAAGGTAATTATACAATTCAATAGTTCAATTATATTTTTTCAAGTTGTACAATCATCACCACAATCCGTTTTAGAGCATTTTCTTCTTTTTTGTACTCATTGTTATTAGCTCCTCATTTCCCCCCAACCTCCCCTGCATGCCCCCAAGAAGCCATCAATCTAGTTACTGTCTACAGATTTACCTAGCTTGGAGTTCATATACAGAAAAACATGTTTTTAAAGAACAACAAAACAATAATAAAGCCAAACAGAAAACCCTCGACCAAAGTGGAAAATATTAAAAACTGGAACAAAAGTTAAATAAGTCACTGATGGTGCCCGGCTATCGAGACCTATAGCGTCTGGGGACTTAAAGGCTTGAAAGTAAACAAGCGGCCATCTAGCCCAGAAGCAACAAAGCCCACATGGAAGCAGCACACCACGTGTGATCATGAAGGGCCAAAGGGACCAGGCTTTAAACACCAAAGGCGGGGAGAAAAGTCATATCCTTGTCAATGAGGGTGGCACGTGATGGAGACCCAATGCCCATCTCTAGACAACTGGACATACCTTGCAGAGGGGTAGTGGGGAGATGAGTCACTTAGGGTACAGTATAGCAATAATGAAACCCACAACCTTCCTCTAGTTCTTAAACGCTTCCTCCCCCCAACTACCAGGACCCCAATTTTGCCTTGCAGACCTGGTTAGACCAGATGATGCACAGCGGTACAGATGGGAATTGGAAACTCAGGGAATCTAGGACAGAAGAACCTCTCAGGACCAGGGGTGACAGTGGCGATACCAGGAGGGAAGGGGGGTGTAGTAAGGGGGAATGGATCACAGGGAGCCACGTATGGCCTCCTCTCTGGGGGACGGGCAGCAGCGGGGTGGGTGAAGGGAGACGCCGGACAGTGTAATATAGGATAAAATAATAATTTATAAATTATTAAGGGTGCATGGGGGGAAGGGGAGGAGGAAGAGAAGGGGGGGGGAGGAAAATGAGCGGATTCCGGGAACCCAAGAGGCAAGCGAATTTTGGGAATGATGAGGGCAACAAATGTATAGATGTGCTTTACACAATTGATCTATGTATTGTGATGAATTGTATGAGCCCCAATAAATTGATTAAAAAAAAAAAAGTTAAATAAGTCAAAGGGGAGATCAAATGATAAGGTGTTAAAATTTAACCCAACAGCATCTACAATCCTCCACTTTCCAAGGCCCTCTGCAGGAGAGCACGGCTCGCCACCTCCCTGCTCCTTGGACAGAGGGGTCCACCAGAGGCTTCATTCACACATATTTCCCCCTCACTTTGTTTTAACAGTAACAAGTCTAAAATGAGTGAAAAGGGAGACCAAATGATGATGCATTAAAGTTTATTCTAACTACATCTGCCATAATCGACTTCACAGTGCTCTGTCTAATCACAAGCCTATTTATATCCCTTGATTATGGTCAAGGAGGATTCACCAGTGGCCTGACCCATACATGGACCCTGCAAATGGATTTTGGGCTTCCACGATTATCCATAGCCTTCTGCAAACTGGGTGTTCAGGATTTAAGCTCTGATATCACTCCCTCCTACTGAGTTGGAATTTATTATTTACAATCCTTGGATCATATAGACGTGTGTGCTTCATCCATGTGGATTTAGTTGACACCTCACTTAAATAGCTGCCTGCTTAAAGACAAGCCTTTAAGACCCAGATGCTATTCTTTCTGATAGCTGGGCACCATATAGTTTCTTCACCACACTCTGCTATAGCACCCGTATCTTCTTCATGAGGGTGATCATCAAGTAGGGCCAAAGACATATGCTTTAGGACATTTTTCCTTACTTGCTTAGGTTTATCTCTGCCCGCTTCTTCCTCTTCCTTTACCTTCTCCAATCCCTTTCAAACATGACCTTAAGGAACCTAAAGGAGATTTATCTTGCTCTCAGGAAACCAACCTTCATTTTAAACTCACACAAAGGGAACCAGAAGTGTTGGATATTAAAGCAACAACTCTGCCCCACCTTCACAAAAGCTCAAAAATGTCACTGTGACTCAGACCAACTAACTGAAA